AAGGAAGAACATTATATGGCTTTGGAGGTTAGAAAGCTATTGAAACGAAAACGTTAAAAAATCAAAAAACAAACAGCTCTTTTAAGGGCTATTACATCTGAAATCTTTTGTGCAGATATGTGTTATTCAGCTTTATCGTTTGGATCCAGTTACTCCAAAGAATTTGACTTATTCAGAAATTTAAGCTGAGAAACTGCCTTTTATGCATCTGAATAAGTGAAAAAAATAAATTAAATACTATCTCGTTTTCTTCATGTAAATAAAATATAACGAAGCACATCAGTCTTCAGTTCGGTTAAAACATGCAGTTACTCACAGGAAACTTTTAGTCAAAATATGCGTTACTCAACAAAAATTTACTCAGCAGGCTATCCACGCCGCACCAAAATTTCTATCGAAAACGCTGGTGCTATTGCTGTAGTTTTGGAAAAACTTCGAGGAAAGCATCTTAGTTTCTTGATTGTACAGTTCTCTTTCTCTTTTAACTAAGAATCAAGGTTGTAATTTCGCTGTGGCTTGGTGAGAAAACTAACCAGCTCCATGAGGGCTACTTTATTGTTTTGATCATCAGTCTTCCGAACGAACGGTAAGCCGAGATCAACTGTGAAAAAGTTGTTTCACTAAAAATGTTCAGAATTTCAGAAAGAATCTCAGAAAGAATGTTCAGAATCTTCAGATGAATTCAGTCGAACAGCATTTTCCATTCACGAATATTCGTTTAAACGTGATTTCTCTCTTCTTATCCCCTTTGCAGCTGTGTTTTAGCTGATTTCTGTTGCCAGCAAGTACAAATTGAAGGAAACCATAGAAATACAAAGAAATTTTGATCATGAAAAAGCTCCAAAAAGTCCAAAGTTGATGTCATATTGCGAAAGCAAGAGAGTGCTGCGTTCTCCACGTTTTAAAGCAATTGATATTGAGAATATGAGTCTGTCTACATGTACAACTTGAAGAATATTTAGACACGTAATATGCATGAAATACTAAGCTTGATTCGTCAAAAAAATGTTTGCTTTCCAGAAGGTTACTTGCAATGTTAATAGAACGCAATGCGGAATATCTAAAGTTCAGAGGACTACGAAAATTTGTTGCAAAAATCCATATGAGTAAGCATGTATCTGATTAATCAGTATCTTACCAACGATCTAGAAAGGTTTTAAAATTCAATATGTTTTAATTAACTTTTAAAATAATTACTACTATCGATTACTACTCACGCCTGCCGCAAACTAGCACCGTACTTGTTGACCATGCTTTCTATATTAAACGTATAAATTAGGTGAAGGCATATGTTCATTTTTTCTCTCAGTTTACATTCTCTTTCCACTCCGTCTTTGAGATGAAACTGCTTCGTTTCATATTAAGATAGCGCGATCAATGTGAAAGCTCACGAAATATCAAATTTTTAGCTCTAAAAAGAGCTGTTGGGTTTTTAATTGAGTTTGTTGTCGTCGACGATGCTGTTTTACTTGGCACTTGTGTACTTCGTCACAGCTTTTGTACCTTCGGAGACGGCATGTTTAGCCAATTCACCAGGCAATAACAATCGAACAGCTGTTTGAATTTCACGAGATGAAATTGTGGAACGTTTATTATAATGTGATAAACGACTTGACTCAGCAGCAATACGTTCAAAGATATCATTGACGAATGAATTCATGATTGACATAGCTTTTGAACTAATACCTATTAACGAACATTCGATAAATAAACGATTTAGAATTATTAAAACGTTACTCACCTGTATCTGGATGGACTTGTTTCAATACCTTATAGATATAGATTGAATACGTTTCCTTTCGTCGACGTTTAACTTTTTTTTCACCTTTAGCCGAAGCACCTTTACTAGTCTTGGTTACGGCCTTTTTTGATCCTTTTGATGGAGTTTTTGGAGGCATGATGATTTGAAATTGGTTTTTAGATCGATAGACTGTGTAGAAGAGTCAGAAGAATGAGATGAAGTTCAACGCATATTTTCAACGTGCTTTTATAGTCGAGACGTCAGTAAGGTAGGACGAATCAAAATCATTTCTTTGTGTACATATGCGTCAGACAAGAAGAATGAAAAGTATACGAGCTATTGGTTGGTTCATGAAAATGAACTAAGAAGAGAATTGATGTGTTCTCTTTCGTTGAACAAAGTATGTCAATTGATTGGTTCGTGTGCTCGTCTTCTGTGACTATATAAGCACGTTTGAAACTACAGGTAGACTATCTGTATCAATTCTACTCATCGCTTATTACATTATTCTCTCATCTTTTCAAACCAATTTCACTTATAATCATGTCAGGTCGAGGAAAAACAGCCGGAAGTGGTAAAGCTCGTGCCAAAGCCAAAACTCGATCATCTCGCGCTGGTCTACAATTTCCTGTTGGTAGAATCCATCGTCTTCTCCGTCGTGGCAATTATGCGGAAAGAGTTGGAGCTGGTGCACCGGTCTATTTATCGGCCGTTTTGGAATACTTATCCGCTGAAATTCTTGAATTGGCTGGCAACGCTGTAATGCATAATTTAAGGTGTATAGTTGAAGTATGTTTTGTAAGACTTATCTTTCTTTTCAGGCTCGTGACAACAAAAAGACACGTATCATTCCTCGTCACTTACAGCTGGCCATTCGAAATGATGAAGAATTGAACAAATTATTGTCAGGCGTTACAATTGCTCAAGGTGGTGTTTTACCGAATATTCAAGCAATACTTTTACCAAAGAAAACTGGCACTGAAACATCCGGTACACCGCGTGATGTAACAACGTCGGGAAGTGCACATCCAAAAAAATCATCGAAAGCTGATAAATCCGAAGGAAAGTCATCTGGCGGTGCAGCAGCTAAAGGCAGTGCAGCGGAAAAAGCATAACGACGAAATTGAGGAAATGAAACTCAAAACCCATCAGCTCTTTTCAGGGCTAAAATTCTTGATTTTAATGTGCTTTCACAGCGATTGTGCTTCTCAAAAAAAATATGTTCACTAGTCAAAAGGGAAATAGGTTATTGAAGGATACAGTTAACAAGGGCACACCTTTATAGAAATCGATCTTCAGGACGAAAACTGATATTTACTGCTTTTCATCGTGGTGATCGATTTGTATAATGGTGTGCCCAGAAAATACAATTTGGCATACTTTTGTTGCTAAAGTCAATTTTAGGAAGCTCTTTCTTCACGGTGAAAAGTCAGAAATATCACTTATTTGACTTATTTCTGATTTTGTGCACGGTGCATCTTTCTTCCGGGATGAACAGTTGTTGATTGAGCAATAGATATTTCCTTCATATTGTGTGTGTCAAACGTATTTTCAAGAACTTGTGCAGCATTTTCGGTTATGATCGGTTTCGGATAATCGGTTAAAAACCGAAACTGATGCATGTCTACTTGAGACGATATGTAGTCAATACACTCGTTAAAGATTCTGTCGGTATTCAAAAACGAAATGCTATATTCGATCATGTCGTCCACTGAATTGGAAACAAATTCTATGCGGAGTTTATCGGAAACTTCTACCGTAAAATTTAGATTCACGTTTTCTTATGTAACTGGATAGCTCAATCTAACAATGGCCATTTTCATTAAAAAATGTTTTCGCTGAGATTTTCAATTGTCGGTACCTTAGAGTAAAATATCTGCGCTTCAACCTCTTTTATCATAAGAGTTTTTGTCCTTTTGTTATTTCGAAAGCATATTTGGAGTTCTATAGTATTGTAACACACACTTCGTCGTAGATTGGCTTTTTTTGTGCGCTTAAGTCTAGTTTTTACTTTAGTAATCACTCTTAATGTCTTGAGCTTTCTTTTATAACTTGATGTTATTTGCTAAATAAAACTAAACTGAAATATATTTTTGTTCAACTGTTTCCAGGTATTATGTATTGATCATCAGTTTGGTTTTGTGACTTTTTACATAAATAATCATGTACTGAAGAATGAAGACCTTTGTTTCGCGAATTGTTGTTTGATTAGAACTACCTACTATAGATGCACAGACCCTGTTTGAGGCATGGTATTGGAGAGTATTTAGACGCTTCATATTACTTGCATTGTTGGAATGTTGTAGGAAGACGTGTCATGAAAATAGAAAAATGTTTAAAAGAGAAAGGAAGTGAGTTGAAAAGAAAACAATTCGTTTTTTTTCGGAGAAAGCGATTTTGTTCAGGTGAAACAGAGCGCATATAAACGGCTAGACATGACCGCAGAATGTAAAAGACATTTGGTATCTTGTTGAGAATTTCTCAAATATTGGTTCATTGGATGAACATGATAAAGAAAATGTGTTTTTCAGTTTCGTTCACAAGAAAGAACAAGTGAATTTAACATGAAAAACGTAGGTAACGCATAAACATTTTTTAAACTTCGAGCGGATGTATCTAGAGAATGGTAAGAGGGAAAGACTTGTAATTTTTAACAAATATGTAAATAAACACATTCTATAATACTTAAAAGTTTGAGCCTCAACCGTCTAATTGTTTAGATTTTATGAGTAAAATATTGGTCGGTAATGCATCGACAGAAAAAGATCCGATTTTCTATACACGTGCGAAAGCAGTGATAAATCCTACGAATTGTACGAGTGAGGGTTTTGTACCTGGAGGTCAGGGCTATCTTTTGGTAAAGAGAAAATATTGATACCTTGAAAAATTAGCGAGTTATTAACAAAACATTAGGTAACGTACAGACATGAATTTTCAAAAAAAAATCCTAGATCTAAAATTTTATTTGGTATTTGGAAATATCGGTTTAGAACATCAAAGTAATGATGTTCATTTGTATATTTCAAGACTGTACTACTGTTTTTATGTTAATGATGTTTCCATTTTGTCCGAGATAATATAGTGTTCAAAATACAATAAGAGACAAAAGAGCCTTTTCAACTCAGTTTTGCACAAAAAATGTTGAATTTTGACTGGTAACAACCATGTCTTTTCGTAATTATTAAAAAGGAATTAGGTAGATCGACGCAGAATGTACGAAAACCTACATAAAAACTTTAAATGAGTAAGATCGCTTGTTTTGTGTCCTAGAATTTGAGTGCCCAAGCTCAGTCATGCTGGTTGACCGTTAGCTGGACAAGCGATTAGGTTAAGAAATGGAGGTATGTCTCTAGATAAAATTTTTTTGATAAAATTGATAAGATTTATCGGAATCTTATGAGTTTCTTATATGAGATAGTTTAAAATTCCCATTGACAGTGGTAAGTGTCTGATAAGAATCTTATAAGATTTTCATAAGAGGCTCGTAAGAAATCCATAAGAAGTACCAAAAATTAGAAGTTCCTCGCTATCATGGTTTTTGAGTTACAGGGAGGTCGCTACTTTTGCGGTCTACCGTATAATAGTATCTCAGGTGATCTCAGCTGTCCTTATAATGGGAGATAGAAGAATCATAAAAGTAGAAAACGATGTAGGGTTCTTACAACAGGATCTTCGAGTGGAATCTGATAAGATGCTTTTTATGACCTTGATAATTTATGCAAGGATATTGCAGAATTTTATCAGCTTTGTTTCATAATCAGTATTCGTCACCATATTCTACTTTTTCATTTTCAGCCGCTGATTCATAAGGAAAATAAATCCTTATGGATCTTTGCTATTTTTTTGCATAATAATTTGCGCCAGATTGTGAAAACTTCGTTTTCCTTGTTTTGTACTAGTTGATTTCAACGTATATGAGTCAATATGACGAGCTATAACCAGATTTCCTATTCAATATTTTGAAATGTAGCATGTCGCTTTGTCGAGCTACAAATGCGTACTATTTCTTTATTAGGCGGATATCTAATATAAAAAATGAATATATCACCATCATTGTTATCTGCTAGAGGTCCGCTGACAACATCCGAATGCTTTGATAAAGTGTCATTTTATGTTTTAGAAATTGTTATGATCATCACAAAGCGATCTGATCTGGCTTAAAAATATAATCGAATTTATCAATAATATACATGCCAAGTAAAACTAAGTAAGCGAGAAAACTTAGCTGAAGCGTCCACTTGCAGCTAGATTATCTAGATTTTAAAAAGTACATTTATACCAAGCATATAGGTATAAGATGCAAGGGGGTGAGGGTGCCCCTAGATACCTAAGATACAAAAAAGTGAAAGAAAAATGAGTTCGCAGCGCACTCAAATTGTGCATGACCTCTCTAGATCCAGCGTCCGTTTCACGATTTTCTTTCGTGCTTGAGCAAACGTAAAGAAACATTATCTATTCATTTTAATCTGTATTAGTTATCATAAATAAAAAACTAAAAAAGAGTACAAATGTATGAATTAGTGCGATTAGAACTGTTCGATCGGACTTCATTTCTTTTCAAACAAGTTTGAAAAAATTGGAACATTACTGAATTTCTCTTGTGTGATAAAGGTTAAAATTTCTTGGCTATTTATTGCAAAATATATTTAAAAAAACTATAGTTCATTGCCAGTTACTCGGCAATCCTCTTTTTTCTCTTGTTTTTCGATATGCTGATAGACTCTGTCACCGGGATAAACAACAAATTAATAATTTCGGTATCCATCGGATTTGCAATACGCCATTCAAGTTCTTGAGGATCATCGTCATCTTGCAAATTATAATCGGATACTGTACTCGGAAATGTCGTGTATGAATTTGCTCTCACACCCACTTCGAGTACGGGTACCATTAACTGATCGTGGAACTGAAACTGAATAGCGTATGTAGGATCAGAGCTATAGTAAATAGACGGACTGACAAAGATGCCACCAGCAAAGTCGGGAATATTAAAGGCAGACATGTCTCGCGCAATATGATTATTGGGCGGATTGATCCGTTTGCCAGTGGCAGTTACTGTCCCAGGTATCACAAGTCCATCAGTCAAAATCGATTTTATAGCTTGAATTGTCGTTCCATGATACGCTGTCTTTGAAAAATGTTTTTCATTCCGGTCTTTTATTTTTAAGCATAAACATTTTATCATTTTATAATTTTTTGATTCCAGACGCCCAGTAGCAAACATGTCTGCATTCAGATGGAGTTCATTCGGGACTATTTCAATTTCTTGAACAATTGCGTAGCACGCATTTGATTGCATTATTTTATTGTTGCGATGCGTAAACCAGCATTTTTGAGTAAACACGTACAAACTTGTTATGTGATTCGTTTCAAAAGCTTTGTAAATCATCGTGGGAGGTTGTACAAATTTTTTATCTTCTTTTGTTTTAAAGAGAAACATACATTCACATGATTTCAGACCTCTTGCATAAGCATTGTCGGTATTCAAAAATGAAATACTAAATTCGATCGTGTTTTCAACTGAATTCGAAGCAAATTCTATGCTGATTTTATCGGAAATTTCTATCGTCTGTTCTATGTCGGATTTTGATACTTTATAATTATAATTACCTATATCTTCTTCGATAAAACCTCTTGGTGCCATATTATGATTTAGCTTAACTTGTGGTAGCTCATCATTAGCTCCATAAACGACAAGGCAAAGAGGTAAATCCACAAGAAATCCAGCGATATATCGCACTTTGTAAACTGCGTCTAGTAACGTAGTACCCGAAGGAAATCTGAGTGGTCGACGAGCGATTGACAACTGCATACCGTCTGGATATTTTTTTTTTATGGAGTCCGATATTCGACCAATGACGCTGTCTATGGTTGTAGTCATTTCCAACTGTAGCTTTTGCGCTGGTTCAACACTCTCAAGGTCTCTACTGGAAAATAGATTAATGTATAAATTCTTTTCTGAAAGTCTATTAGTTTTATATATTAAAATCAATGTTCGAATCTCATCAGTAGTTTCTTCGTCTGCTGGTGTATGTCCGTATGCATTTCTCGTGTTTACATTAGCTCCTTTTAACAGTAGAAATTCAACTACTTTGACATGTTTCCGATAAGAGGCAACATGTAACGGTGTACTCTTAGTAAGGACAGTCTGTTGGAAGTTTACGTTTGCTCCATTCTCGATTAACCATTTCACAAGCTCCAAATGTCCGTTTCGGCATGCAACAAAGAGTAAACTTGAACCAGTACTATCCTCCTTATTAATATACTGTTTTTGGAAATAATATGCAAACCAAGTCAGGGTCCCATTTTCAGCCATTTTGGAGGCATCTCGCTGTTTCATAAGTTTAAACAGTTGAACAACATTTGGAAAATTAATGGCTTCATCTTCTGCCGTGGTAGCCCATTTATTCCGCAAAGTGGGATTTGCGCCACAGTCTAATAGGTATTTGACAACATCCTCATGACCGTTTGAAGCTGCTACATGCAATGGAGAGTTTAGATGACTATCAACAATATCGAGATTTGCATTGTACTGTTCCACGAACAATTTAACAAGTTCTATATACCCTTTTCGACTTACACAATTTAACAAAGTTCGACGCAAATAGTTTTGTTCGTCAATGTGTCGGTTTAGTTGAGGATACGTTTTTCTAAAATAATCTAGGTTGCCAGCTGATGCCTGGACGAACCAATCTTTTTCGAGTTCTGTAAATACTTTGACAATTTCATCATCGTATGCTTCACTTTTTGGAATATTATTGTAAGTATTTCGGACGTTATAATTTGCACCACTTTGCAACAGCCATCGAACAACGTCCTTGTGTCCATAAAACGAAGCAACGTGTAATGCGGTACTCTTTGTTCGCTGCGATAAATCTGGTTCTGACCCAGTTTCGACAAGCCATTTTACTGCCTCTAGTTGGCCTGCTCTCGCTGCACAGTACAACGATGTATGGCCGGTGACAGGATGTTGAGAGTTTATTTTTCCAATTGTTGCACCGTCAAGTTTCACTTTCAACATTTCTAACTCTTCCACTGCCATCTGCTGAATTGTATAGCCTTTGAGTGAAATATTATTGGTCCATTGTTTTGTTTCATTATAGAGTTGTCGTGCATCATGATCAGCTAGACATTCATATGCTCGATTAAGTAATTTAAAATTGATTTTCGAAATAGAGTTTTGAAGATATAAATGAATTTTATCTCGATAAGCTAATTTGAGTTTCAAATCCAAGTCCTTAGCCTTTGGATCGACACCAAGTACCTCATACGGCGATTTATCTCCCATTGTCTGATCCGATAATGTACGTTAACGTTCTATTATCTAAAAAAGAAATAGTGACGTTGATTGTATTTAAGTTAACGCAATAATAAAATAACTCAGAACGTTTTGTAGAGAAAACTAGAGAGCATAACTTTTCAACGAGAACATCTCCACAAATCGGATTAGAAACCAGTGTCCTTGAATGATTTCTCTTCATAAATGATGATTGAATCACCCACTTGTCTTTGGGTGGACAAAAGTCGAATTGTGTAGTCTCATTAAATAATGACTTAGACGACTTAGCCGATTAGCTTGAACAAAAGATGAATATTTTGAATGAATCTATGAAAGAGACCAACTTTTGCGGTTTATTATCTGTTTGTCCTCCGTGAAAGAAGTCGTCAAAAATAATTGAATGCATGCAAGTAGACTATATTCTACGCATATATATATCTCCATACGATAACATATATGAAAATTGCTCACTTTGGACAGAAATAGCCCGAGGTTAACAAAATTGACAAAAAAATGCGTTAAATGTTTTAAAACCAACGCTTTTTTTTGACGTTTAAACGCGTTTTCTTGATCCATTCGTCTGAAAAGGCGTTTTTCGGAATTTCGCAACGCGTTGCTTTTGCGTTAAAAACGTACAGAAACGCGTTTTCAAACGTTCTAGAACTAGGCATGCACCAATACAATATATTGGATCCCAATAATATCGGTCACTCAATCTATTGGGACCAATAATTATTGGTCCCAATAGATTGGGTTTTCGCAATATGATTGGGTATGGGCCACTTGAGTTCGGTCTACTTTTACAGTACGGAATCATGCTTTATATCCCGTTTTGAATCAAAAATAACCCAATTGGACATGCACCGATTAATAATCAATATTAGGGCATTCAGCAAAGTCGTTCCAAATCAGTTATAAAAAACTCTCAGAGCTGCTGAACGCTTCATTTTGTAGGAAAATGTTTTCTCTTCCAAACACGGGTGGCAGTCTTTAAACTCATTACGAGATGAAAAATACTAATGTCTTCTATTACAGTGGGAAGCTGTTTTGAACTCGTTACGAGTCCAAATGAGTGCTATATTCTAATACGAGTTGAAAACTGTGTTATGTTCTAATATAGTATAGGGGAGGCTGTTTTGAATTCGTACGAGTTTAAAAACATGTTACGAGTTGAAAACTGTGTTATGCTCTAATATAGTATAGGGAAGGCTGTTTTGAATTCGTACGAGTTCTGAAGAGTGTTTTACTCTTAAGAGAAAGATCTATTTGAAATTCGTAAGAAATTTGAAGATCACCACTCGTTCAAGCAGAAGTTTATTGTAAAAGCCTTCAAAAAACAAACTTGAAAACATTTTTTTATAAACTATGGCAGTCAGAATACTGCCATTGTCAATATGTTTAGACCTCTCGGGATCTTTGGAGGGCCTCAAGAAAACGTTTTTGATTTGTATTAGACTACAAAGCTTACACATTAAATCAGAGAAAAATTCATAACATATTTTAGATAGTCGTCTAGCAAACACCGACCGAAGGGTGGTGTGAGTGTTGCCTTGGTTTCAAAGTCATGGGAGGTCGTTCACAGATATAAGTTCCAAAAGTCAACGAACCGAGCGAGTGCAGATGAGTGTTACCTTGTATACTCTGTTCCCTTGACTTTAGTGTTGGGTATTACAAAATGGCTGTCTGTGTGTGCTTATAATACGAAAAAATGGCTGTCACATTTTCAATTCCCTATATAAGTCAATCCCACGAGAGAAAAACAGAAAATTGTTTGTTAACCACGAGAGAGAAAATATTCAAAGTGATGACTAAGACACTAGGTCAGTCTGTATTCTTTAGTTAATTTTTTTATATTGAAAAGAAGATACAAGTACAACCTATGTATACTTGTCTCATACGTAGCACCTTTTACAAGTTTTTATAAGTAAAAAGTGTTGAAAAAGCTTTTCCTATGTACAGCAAAAGACTTGATAAGACGCGGATGCATGGATTCCAGTCAACAGCCATCTCGGCATTCACTGAGTAGATATTAGGGAAAGCAGGGTTCATCAGTTGTAAGACTGGCACGGTAAAGAAGACTAGCTACGTCTCATTTTTTGTCAATCGTATACAGAGAAAATGAAATGGAGCGATGAGTTTTGCGTGTTTTTCACAAATGAACATAAAATGTGTTCGTCGGCCGGGAGGGGTGGGGGATGGGAAGATGAGAGTGAGTGGATATATAAGATACAACAGGAAGTACTAAGAATGTGGCGTAGTTTTAGAGATTTTGGTCTAGGTGCATGCTTCATTAGTAAATAAATATGTTTCAAATCTACAATCATCGAATATCAAAAGTTCTCGTACTGAATGTGAACCAGCTTCAGCAGTTATCAAAACGTTTTCATAACTAAAAGAATTAAAATTGTCAATAACTGATAAATGTCAACGACTTGATTATTTAGATTGGAAAAATTACTTGTTTTTCATCTCGTTACGAGTACGAATTTAACATGAAGTCCTACCGAACTAAAGTGCTACAAAAATTTTAATATTATATATAGAGAAAATACAATAAATCGAAAACGCACTATAATCATGGAAAAATAATCGCACGTCGCTTTTTTCGAAATTTTGGTTTTTGATGCTTATATTTCTGTCGCAGATAACACTAAAATGTCTTTTTGCACTTTAGTTTGGTAGAGCAATCATTTTCTACAAAATGAGACATTCGGCAGCTCTAAGTGCGTTTTTAAAACTGATTCGGAACAACTTTGCTGGATACCCTAATATCCAGTGTTAATCGGTGCATGTCTAATCTAGGGGTGGCACTTTCTCTTTCCTACCTCCTTTTTTTTATTAACAAAGAAAAGTTTTTCTTTTTCTTTACAACAAAAAAGAGTAAAGATATAATGCATATCTTTTCTTTCCTAAGAAAAAGAAAAGTGGCACCTTTTCTTTTCCGAAAGAAAGAAAAGCAATATCTTTTCTTTTTGCACCTTTTACGAAAGTCTTTTTCTTGCAAAAAGAAAAGATATTGCTTTTCTTTCTTTCAGAAAAGAAAAGGTGCCACTTTCCTTTTTCTTAGGAAAGAAAAAGATATACATTATATCTTTACTCTTTACTTTTGAAA